TTCGAACAACGCACAGAACAGGATAAATTTCCTCGACGCATTTTTCAGCTTTAGAAACTTTTCCGATGCCGCGACGATAATTTCATATTTTCTACGGTCACGATCCGTGAACGATGAACGACGCTTCGTTTACTGGCCAGGCTATGACCTTTGATAAACGGAATTCTATGGAATGGAAAGGAAGTTAGAGGAGAGCAACGGAAAGGACAATGAGCGGGGATAAGGGTCGAGCGAGGTTGTCTGCCGAGGACCACGGTATGTACGCTACGGATTAATAGCGATCATTGAGACGAGCTTTTCGTCGACACCAAAACCTTTCCCGCGAGAATTCTTTTCTGTGCGAGAACCAAGAGTTTTATATCGAGCTGACCGAGGAACGAACTACATCGGAATGCAGGGCAAAATGCTCACTTTTCAAATGGACATCATGAACGTCTCGTTCCGCGGTCCACGCGTAAATGTCTAGCTACACAGACGTGACGGCACCGCAACAGCACCATACCGCAGTGGGAATGTAATGGGAACGTAGGTCTCCATAGGTCGGAGGACGTAATTTTTAGTGCCGTAGTCTTTAGGACAGTAGTAGGACGTGGACCCTAAACAGCAGGCAGTCCCCGCCTACCGATTCGGTGTCAAACGTGGACCCCTGAGCTCCCTGCTTTTACACGTTTTTTCCTATACCCTGTCCTAAAGACTACGGCACTGAAAATTACATCCTCCGACTTACGGAGATCTACGTTCCCATTACGTTCCCACTGTGATACGGTGCTATTGCGGTGCAGTCATGTCTGTGTAGTACCTTATGGAGTGGTAAAAACCGTGGGAGAACGAGACGCATCGCGGCTCGATCATTGTCAAACGATGCTTCGCTCCTAGCTAATTGTTTCAGGGGACGATCGGCAAACTTTCGGTTCAGGAGAATTTATCTCGTCGCTAAACCTGTTACTTCTCAACGATACCCGTTTGAAAATTCCTCGAGAAGCGGCGGCCCGTCTACGAGCAAACGCCGACAACGATGCTCGACGAGACTTCGGACCGGGCAAACAAACCGGGGAAGAATACGAGAAAAAAGAAAGGGGGAAGAGAAAGGAAGGTTATCGTTGAAATTGTGCCGGCATTACTTCAGCTCCAAAAATTTCCCTCGAAATTACTCGGGCTCTTTTTCCTGCCCTCGCCGCGCCGCTCGAGAAGACGGAAACAAACGTTTCCGCGGCGGAGAGGCGTCGACGCTTCTTAAAGGCAGAGAGAAGACCCGGCGAGACAGGGACGAGAAGGGTGTTCCACCCTGCTCGTTAGCTGTTACGAGTCACTGCTTTCCACGAGATTCACCCCCCGTTCAAAGTACCAGACGCCCGAAAACCCTCCGTGGGAAATTTCAACTCGCGGGAGACGAAACGTATACGCCTCAGACGGGATAACCGATAAAACATCCGTGTTTGAGGGTAGAGAAGTTTTGCGAGAAACAATTCCAGGCGAACCGTGCGTTAAACTTCTTGACCGTGTAAATTACTGCTATCCGATCGAACGCTTCGTCTGCTTTTGCGACGAACGGGACGGGAAGTTGTAGCGTTTGGAACTCGAAATGAAACTGGGCAAACTTGGTTCAATCACGACCTGATCGTTACTCAAACTGTTCGTCCAATTAACGTATCGAAGCGTTAAAAGCTCGGAAAGCATGGAATATTCATTTCGAAGCATCGTCTCTTCCATCGCGATTAAAAGCCCTCGACGCCAAGGCTGAGAAAAACGAAGTTGAAGCAACGCTGGCCTTGAGCGGTGCAATGGTTCTTCCGATCTTCCGTCCGGCCGTAAACAAACTTCCGAAGGAATTTCGGGTCGCGACTCGTATCGTACAAACGAACCGTCTCATCTACGAAGCGCGCGTTCCATTCAGATTCACCGACAATTATCCGTGGGCAAGAACGATCTCGTATCGATCGTACAGTAAAAGTAACGTCGTAAACGTTATCTTTGCGAGAATAACCCTTGCCAAAGAGAGATGTTTGCGAACATCGCAGGGTGCAACGTAATTCTGGATGACAATCGCATAACACGTAAATGAGAATATTGATTTTTATTAACGGGACAACGGCCGTCATTACGACCCGTTCAATTAATAAACGTACACACGGTCGGGCTTACCAGCACGGGAACCAGTGGCGTGACATTGGAGACAGACGACGAGGACCAGCAACGATGAAGTTCTCATTTTCTCACTGTTTCGTGCTCCAAGTCCAGCCGTCGAACCGCCGAGATCGATTCGTGAACGGAGACGCACGTGCGACCGGTGGCACGATCGCGGTCGCTCAAGGGTTTCTGACGTTGTCTGTTCGCGCACCGACGGACGCCTATCACGTGGACATCAGCGTGCCTAGACGGAACGCGGAATCGTTTGATCGTGTCGCGTACGACTTATCTAAGTCCCATGACAATAGGCCGCGTATCGAGGGTCAAAAGAATTCAACCGAACCTCGCTCGCGCCGGCAAAACGACGGGCAACATCCTCCTAGTCCCGAACACTGAAACCGACTAACCGCGGGCGGCGAACGCGACGCGGCGTCGCGACGCCGCGAGGACTGCGCAAGTGCCCCACCACGACCAGCCATGGCGGGCATCTCTGTGCGATTTTTTTTTTTGTCCGATTCAAAAGTGCATTTCCCTGTTCCTCGCGCGAACCAGATTTCAGCGAGACGAACCGTGACTCGTTACACGAAAATTCTGACGTCTTACTCGCTCTCCCGTCCCGTGTTACACGCGGCGCGAAGTAAATTATGCGCGCGTGTTTTCAACGCGCGCAACAGGCGAACGCTGATGTTCATGCTCCCGTGCTATTTGGAAATGTAACTTCGCGAATCACGATATTAACAACGGTGCGACGTGATTTGCCGATCAATTCCACCTGATCGAAGCTGATTTTACGAACGAGACGAACTCGGAGCGATGTAAAAGGATCGTGAAAAAAATAAAAAGACAACTACGATTCAACTTTATTTCAGCGAAATGGTTTGCGACGAATCCAAATCCGAATGATAAACCGGGTCGATAGAACGAAGGTCGAATAAACGCATTTGGTTGTTCCGTTCAACGGAGTGGCCATCGTCAGTTTCAAAGATCGTATGCCAGCGTACGAAGTGAATGTTAAAAAAAAACCTTTTATAAAACGATAATTTGAAACGCGAATGAATCAAAGATTTTGTGGGAAAATAAAAAATGAACTTTGCCGAAACCCGGGATCGAACCGGGGACATTTAGATCTTCAGTCTAACGCTCTCCCAGCTGAGCTATTTCGGCTCTGTGGCATCACCGATTTCATAAAAAGACACGAAATTGATCTGTTGCCAATCACGAAATTAATTCCTTGGTCACTGTTTTGAATCGACGTAATGTAATCTTAAAACTCTACGCAATAAGATCCTCCCGAATCTCGGAAAACCAAGACGATAGCCGGTTCAAGATTCGTAATTATTTTCTGTAACATCACCTATTTCTATCGCACTGTTTCATGTATCCTACTTGGCAGTCTTCGCACGGTACACGAGTCTATCATTTCCCAGAGCAAGTCTTAAGGTCATTGGGAGGGAAAGAGTCGGCGAGACTCATGGCCACACGACAAAATCACGCGGCAGTTAAAGATGTAGAGATGCTACGCACGAAACGTGCTTATTCGACGAAACGCTCCATGAATTCGAGAAATGTGCGAAATAAATTCCTCATTGTTCCTCGAACGAGGAGGAGATAGCGAATAATTTACGCGATACTTAATCGCGCTCTTCTTCTCTTCCAAATTGTATCAGCCGTGCTTCGACCGTAGCCTCTTCTCTCGATTCCTTCCCGGTTGGAAACGCGTATAGACCGGTGATCCGAAGATCACGAAGGGTCTTTTCGAATATTCTTATACTTTGCCATAAAACGCTTGTTCTCAGTGTCGTTCTCATTAATATGAAATAAATCGCGATTACAAAGAGCCTCAACCTGAGTCGATATGTAAATAAAGAGTCACGCAATACAACATAAAATTGTCACTACTCCCGGGTGTTTGTAATAATATTTAAATGCTCAGGGTCACTGTGCTCGTCAAACAAGTATAAAATACAACCAGAGACTCGTGCCGTTCCGGACCTTTCGTCGCGGCACGATCGAGTGACCGGAGGAATTTAAAAGCATATGACTCACCGTGACGAAAACCTTCATTGACGTTCTTTTCACGGACCAAGAGTCGAGGGATGTTAAGAATCAACCGTCAAAAGTCGTACCAGGAACCAGCTACCAAAACTCGAGGAATGTCAGGAATCAGTCATCAGCCGGTCATCAAAGAAGGAGAAGAAGAAGGAAGATGAAAACTATAACAGAATGAGAATAAACAAACGTTACGATTTGTTCTTAGGTAGCTTTTTAATCATTTTAACGCGAAAGTACAAATGCATGTGTTGCGAGTATGTCCAACAAGTAGTCGAGCAAACGCGTCATTGTTAATCGGCATTAACAGCGAATAATAGTGTTCGAATAGTAGCTATACTCACGTGAAGCAATGAATCCGTCGTAATTAAGTGTCTAAGCTGATGATATTCACATGCGTACGATATTGTAAAGATTCAAATTGAATGCCGGTATGCCGAAATACGTAGGAAGCACCTGTGACACTACCGCGCACTTACACGAAGGGAAAAAGAAAATGGCCGACGCTCGAGCATGCGCTCGAGCCAGTAGAGTGAGGGTCACGTGGCATCGCGCGGTCATATCGGGAAGATGGCTGCGCCGATAATTACGGCGCGGAAATTTAAAATTACTGTAGACTACTTTTGACACCTCTTTCTTTTAGAACATGACGAAACGATTCTTGTATATCCTCTGTCCCCTTGCATCGTGGACATTTTGTAGGATCTAACGTGCAGAAGACAGCCTATAAGTAGTTGAGTTATGTTGGGCGAAGAAGAACGTGGAGGGAGATCACGAAGGATCATGAGAAGGATGGTGTGGCTCGTTCGCTACACCACGACTCTTGCCAGTTTCACGCTTCACGCGACGTTCACTGAGTTCACTCGATTCAGTGTCGCGTCGCTCGTAGATGGTGATGGTTCGTTGAAAGTCTGCGCGGACACCCGGGTGAGATTTGACAAACGGAAACCCGAGATCATCGAAAAAGGTATCTTCCTCGCGTCCTACACGCGTGTAGGCGCATCGAACGGAAGGAAAGTCAACGTCGTTCGCTACCTCCCGGCCACGCATTATGGCGAATTTGAGACAAACTCCGTTGACGTGCAGTGGACACACCAGGCCCGTGGTACATCTCGCGTTCTCCGATATCACCGAGTCCGGGTATTATCTGATTTCGGCGTGCAAAGGTAATTAACGCATGATTCCCTTGTCTCGAGACGAAGCGTAGTCTCGTATCCGTCGATCTGTTTTTTCTCTCTCTCCTTCACGATCGGCACCGCGCTCAGTTCTTGATCGCCTTGGCCCAGTTTCTTCGGAAACCAAGGATTTACGAGCTTCGAGGTTAGAACCTGCGTTCTCGCAACGTCATCGCGATTTCCTGAATTATAATTAAATACATCTTGATCCTCGAACGTATTTCAATTTTCCTGTGCATTCGCACGTGCGAATCGTGATTAAACGGGGGCTTTTCGATCCGTCCCGCTAGTGCTCGATAGACGAAGTGTACGTGTTCTCGAACGGATTTAAGCAACTCGTACGACGTGAAATTTTGTCTGCTCTCAGATGGCAAGCCTATGTTACGGCAAGGTGATACCGGAGATTGGATTGGAACGTTCGAAGGACATAAGGGAGCAGTATGGGGTGTCGCGTTGAACCCTCAGGCTACGAGGGCCGCGTCCGGCGCTGCCGACTTCAATGCTAAAGTCTGGGACGCGATCAAAGGAGAAGAAATTCATTCGTTTCAACACAAACACATAGTCAAGTCCGTAAATTTCAGTACCGATTCCAATTACTTGTGTACGGGTTCTAACGAGAAACTCGTAAGAATTTATGACCTGAACAAACCGGAAGCAGCACCACAGGTAGACACACTCGTATTCGCGAGGATGCAACGTTTCGTTCCAACTTCGTCTAACCGGTGAATTTAACAGATTTTCTCGGGACATAAGAGCGGCATCAGACATGTCACCTTCTTTAACGATAACACCCAGCTGATCACGTGCGGCGATGACAAAACTTTGAGAGTATGGGACAAGAACAGCGGCCAGGAGATCAAGAGGCTGGACTTTCCAGCGGTTCCAAATTCCATGGAAATCTCCAGGGACGGAAACATAATTACCACTACTCATTCGAACATAGTCACTTTTTGGAACAGCAGAGAGTACGTTCATTTTCTCCTTCGAGTTAAGCAGGGTCAAGGTGAACTCTTTGTTCGTCTCTCGAGACACGCATCGGTATCCTGGTCGCGTAGCCGTTGACTCAGCCTTGGCCCAGTAGGAAGTGCTTCCCGATGCGGCGACTCGTCCTCGCTTCAATGCCGTACTTGAGAAAAATCTTGATTGCTTTTTGCAGGCTGACGAAATTACGTGAACACACTGCGCCAACGCAGATGAACAGCGCCAGCTTGCATCCGGACTGTAGTATTTTTGTATGCGGGGGAGAAGACTTGAAAATGTACAAATTTGATTACGCTACGGGTGCAGAGATCGGTGAGTATACCTTGCGAGACCGATGATCAAAATGTCCGATCGATGACATTCACAACGAATACTTGGACGTGCTTACAGAATCGTTCAAAGGCCACTTCGGACCCGTGCACTGTGTACGTTTCTCGCCGGACGGAGAATTATACGCTAGCGGATCGGAAGACGGTACTCTGAGATTATGGCAAACGACGGTCGGCAAAACGTATGGACTGTGGCGGTGTATAGAACAAACGCCTATAATACAAGAGAACGCTAATGTGATCAACAATAAACAAGAAGTTCCTGCCAATTAAAGAATCATCCAAGCCGAACAGATAGTGCGAAGCTACCTGAAGATCGAGGACGTTTCACGTGTGCGAATCAAAAACAACAAAAGATGTATTTGTTCGAGCTGAAATTTCATTCTATCGGCTGACGGTCTCTGCCATATTTTTTCTAAACAGATCGGATCGCGGTCGAAGAAACATCTCTCGAGTCAGCCGTGTTCTGAACAAGACTAAAACATGCGGACCAACCTTCAACAGTAGTCTAAAAGGTCATGAAGGACACGGGGACGCCGTTCACTATTTATTATAAAAGAGGGGGGGAAAAAGAAACATTAACATTTATTAACGTTATACATGTCGCTGGTACACTACAAAATTGGACAGAGGTGTAACGATGAAGGGAGGAAAAAAAACAAGAAAAGAAAGTCGATTCGGAATTAAATTTTGCGTTTGCATTTGTTATTTTCCGCGTTGTAATTATTATACAAGTACAAAAATGATTCACCTTCTCGGTCCTTGCGCGACTCTCCCTCCAATATACAACATCTGACGCGTTCATTCGCGATGTCGACGAACACCGTGACGATTCATTTAAAGTCCTCCTCGTTCCTCACTTTTACGTACTACGAGATCACTGTACAAATTTTTCCTTCAAGCTGGCGACAACAGCTTCGCGTACTGACCTCTCTCTCGTTACCACTCCCTCCCGTACATTAAATACTTCTTACAGTCTACAAGATAATAGTACTAAACGTAACAAGTAAAAAAAGTAAGATACGAGAGGTATCTTCTACGAAACGAGTTTGAAACAGTTCGAACGACACTCTTCGCGGACGATCTCCGTCGAAAGTAAAACGAACCGCTCATCTCGTAGATGGTTTCCGTTCGCGAGACGAAACGAACAGAGGAATGCGCGACACCCGTTCACCGTACACTTTTATGAAACGTCGTCTTCGACGATGAAGCGCGGCCCGTTAGGAATCGAACTCGACCGTCGTTGTCGGTACGGTCTCTCGAAGGAAGACAGTGAGTATCTCGTGTACGACAGTTAATAAGCGACCAGTTATACGTAAAGTCTCGTTGTTAACGCGTCCTCCCGCTACGCGTGTTCGCGTTCTCAGCCTATGAACTGCGAGAGATCGGGCAGCTTGAATCCGTTGAAGGAGACCGGCGACGGTGCGCTTCTCAAACTGTTTCTATGCGCGACGAAACCGGGGAAACTGGCCGGCGTGCTGAACTGCTGAATCCTCGAGTTCGCTTCCGTGGCCGCGAGGACGAACCCGCACTGAGCCGTGCACACGTCGTCGCGTAGGATCGCCTCCCGAGACGCTTCGCGCAGAAGCTGATTGCAATCGGTGATCCTCAGAGAAGCGCACTGCGTCTAAAGACGAACAGAACGATGATCAAAGGTCAAACGCGGAGAAGTACGTTTGAAAGATTATTCGTAAAAAAGGTCGGGGTACTTACGCCTTCGGCCGTGCAAACGCAGCTGGTGCAGGGCGTGGGGAAGCCGGATTCTCCCAGGGCGACGTTCCTCCCTCCGATTTGACATCCGTGCCTCGTCTCCCTCCAGGCGGACAGGTCCATGTGTGGCATTGAGCCGCAAGGGACTCTCGGGTTCAAGAAATTGCTCGGAAGATCGAACGCGGCTCGCTGCATCTCGGTGTGCTCGTCCATGTTCTCGCACATGATCTTCGACAGCGTGATCTTTCGTACCTCCGCGAGCTGCTGCTCGGTGAATCGGATGTTCGGGTCGTCCGTCTCGTACCAGAATCGATCGCACTTCCTCGACTGCCGGAACTGTATCGCGATGATGCACGCGAAAGTCGGACCTACCAGTCCACCCTGAAGAGGCCTCTCGCTCATTCCACCGGGGAACAAGTCGATGTCGTCCACCGAAGCGTAGATGCGTTTCATGCGAGCTATCACCTCCGGTGCCATTTCTCTGGACAGATCTTCGAACGTGGTGGCTCGCTTGAGGTTGCAGAGAGCTCTGTAATTGTTGTAAGACGGTATCCCGTGATCCCTGGCACGATGGACGTTGAGCGCAACGAGATCGATCCCCGAGTACGGGATCCCACGAATCTCGAACAGATGATTGGTCACCTCGCCGGTGATGAACTGGTCCAACGTTTCCATCGGCGTAGCCACCAAGCCACGCAGCATCTCGTCCATCATTTTGTGCTGGTACAACATGTCGGGATCGAAGAAACCGTCTCTCAGTAAAATAGATGGTTCCATGTTCTGATAGCCGCGGTCCATTCTCGGCAAGTGCGGCCGCAGGAGCGAGTGACCGATCCTGTAAGCGGCGCTGGCGAACTCGGTGAGCACGCTGGGATTGCACGTGGGCGAGTACTCTTTGTAGTAACCCTGAGGAAGAAGCTTCAGCCCATAGAGCGTGACCGCGTTCCAACCGAGGATTCGCGGTAGAAACTCGTTGTAAGTGACGTGCTGCAGCATCGCGCTGACCATGCGGCGCGCCTGCTGAAACAGTTTCTCTCCGTCCCAATGCGGATTTATCTGTCTGAGACCATCGACGATCCTGTTGTGCTCGCGGATCCACATGGTGTGCATCACCGTCAGCGCGGGTTGCTCGGAAGCGCGACCGTCGCCGCCGATGAAACAGTATCCCGACTTCGCTTTGCACTCGGGATGCGTCGGGGACTGCGGTAGGAGGTCCTTGTGACCGCGATGCGGGCTCTGCGTGACGTTCATTCGCCCGTTGAAACCTCGCAGGATGTTACAGATGCAAGTGTTCTCGCCGTAGATGACCGACGCGTCGAGGAACGCGGTGTTCTGGTTGATCTGTTCCCGAGGTCCCAGGTGCTGCTGGCCAGGGAGCGATCTCATCGACGGGAAGCACATCCTCGCGCCGGAGGTCACGTTCACCGTGGGATAATAGTGATCTCCGGGAGGGACCGGAATCGGGTTACACTCTGGATGAACCGTCCGTGGCGAGTCGCAGGAACGGCAGCTAGGTATGGACTCGGCGAATCCCTTGTGGATAGGCGTCATCGTGAGGTCGTGGTCCAGAAACTGCGCGAACTGCATCACCATCAGGGTGTATCGATTGTGGAGGTTCGAGATGTCCGGATGTATGACCGTGGAGATCACTCTGGGATTCGGTAGAGGTGCCCCCGTGACGGACGTCACTCTGGGCTTCGAGACGCCGTCCTCGTAAGCCGGGGGTAGTAGTCTGGCGAACGTCGTCAACGATTTGCCGAGACTGGGGTTGCGAAGATTATTGCAATGGCCCGACAACGTTCTGTAAGGGCTGGTGGGATCGCAAGGACTGTCGTCCACCGGGCACTCGACCTCGTCGTGATTCGTAGCCTTTTTTTGATTCAGAAATCCGGAGATATCGACGTTTTGAAGCAGGTCGGAGAAGTCGTTGTTTGGGAAGCCGAGGACGTTGTCGGTGGTGTCGAAGGCCTGTCGTTTCCTGCGTCGCAGACCGTGCACGCCGTTCAGAATCTCGTTGGTAGCCAACTCGTACATTATCGACGAGTTGGCCAATAGAAGCGCGTCCCTGTTCGCTTTGGAGAAGCTGGCCGCCGTTCCAGCCGGAGACTTCGGATCGGCTATCCTCTGTTCCAGCCACGAATTGTACTCCAACTGTTTCCTCTCGATCAGATCGGCTTCCGCTTTCTTCACGGCTGCCGCTATCAAGCTGGCGTCGATCTCCGGCACGTATCCCGGTTTTGTCGACTCAGTTCCGACTTCCTCTGGTCTCGCGGGTTCGGGCAGAGGCTCCTCCCTCCACGGGCCGATGTCCAGCGAGCCGTGTTGATCGCAATCGATCTTTGCGTTCAGGTACGGATCCTGTTGGATGAACGCCTTAGGTTGGATCTCCGCGATCTTCGTGTTCGCGCACAGGATACCGGCCAGAGACACTTTCCTGATCTCGGCCAACTGAGCCGGGGTCAGGCCCGAAGGAGGGATGTCGTTCTCGTACCAAAATCGATCGGAGTTTCTGGTCTTCACGAATTGTCTCTTGAGCAAGCATTCGAACGTCGGCCCCACCGTGGCTCCTCTCATCGGAACTTCTAAGATCCCGCCGACGAGAAGATCTATGTCTTCCACGCGAGAATAGATGGATTCCAAGAGTTTCGCGTGCGACGTCCGCATTAAACGTTCCAGATCTCTGAAACCACCGCCGCCGACCTGTGCCAAAACGAAAAGTGATTCTGTTTTCAGAGACCGTTCTGACGGCTCTAAGTAAACAAATGTTTCCGACGAGAAATCGCGTCATCGCGTATCGTTACGAAGGGTGAAAGTCGAAACGGTACATCCGAAACCTACCGTGAAATTGAGGCCGGAGCAGTCGGCCACGAAGTGGACGTATCCGGGGATGCCGTGGTCGCGAGCCACGTGGACCTGGAGAGCGTCTGCCTGGAGGCGCGATCCGGGAGCGATCCGGCTCGGGTCGAGGCCGACGCGATTGGCCGATGCCAGCACGTGCTCCTCGAGCCATGTAGAATCATCCTCGGTCGATCCGTACCCGCGGAGCGAAGTCAGAGCGCGGAGAGCCGTCAGCGCAACGGCGTCGTACGTCCCAGCAACGTTCGACGACGAGTAACCGTCGTAGAAGCCGCTGGCGACCGGCATCAGTTCCGGGTCGGCGCGGGCACCCTCGCCCAGGATGCTGGGCAGGTACTCGTTCAGCGTGATGTGCTGTATCTGGGCTACGACTATTCTCCGCGCTTCCAGGAACAGTTTCGTGTCGTGCCAGTGTTCGTTCGCCTCGGACAGTCCGCCAGCTATGCGGTTGTGCTCGTTCAAGAGAGCGGTGTAAATCGTACCGAGAGCCCTGCCCTCGGTACCGTTACAGATCTCGCACGCGGACACGTCCACCTTTCCTCGGCTGTACGTCCTCAGACGATGCAACTGTTCGTCGGTCGGACCGTAGACGTGCGAACCGTCCAGATACGCGGACGCTCCGTTCATCTGTTCTCTCGTCTCGAAGTTGCACTTGTGCACGGTCAAACTCGGGACGGAGCGCCAGTGCTCCATGCACTGCCCTTCTTCATCGCGGATCTCGTAACATTCCGGGTGTCTGGAAGTCCCCGAACAACAGAGATTCGGCTGGCTGGTGGAACGCACGGTGGCCGCGATGTCGTTCAGTATCAGTTCGGACCACACGCCGGACAAGCTGGTCAGACCTTCGTGAGGCTCCGGGGACGGACGGAGATGGTTCGACAAGATCGACACCGCTGTCGTTGGTCTCGGAAGCGCTTGGCCACCCACGGATCGTCTGGGGCTGGCGATTCCTGCAGGTGGAAATCAAGCGTGAAGCATGCGCAGGTGTTGACCATTTCGTTCGAATCATCGTCGCGATTCGCGTGCGACGGAACGCTTTCGATTTCTAACGAGCGAATCTTCGACGTCTTCGAGAGGCGAATAGTTGTAGAAAGTCGCGATAGATCTCGTGGAGGTAATCGCGTTCAATGCGAACTAGAAAGTCGCTCTATCACGTTTCACGAGAGGGGACCAGGCGAACCTTTGTCTTAGGAGCAATCGCGTTCCGGTCAAGGCTGTCGTTCGTCGAACGCGCTCGACGTCGTACGGAATGACTCACGCGTTTCCCTCGACGACGGTCCTCACCGAGGAAGGCCCACCAGCCTCGAAATATGCGCGTCGCGCGCATCGAAATTCTGTGTCACGGTTACGCATGGTCGTGCACGATGAATCTCTCGAACTAGGCCGACGACGAGCCACCACGTGCCTTCCTACGCGATATCAACGGATCTTAACGCGCGGATGTTGCGCGTGCAACCGGATCGTGTGATAAATATAGATGCGCCGTAAGAAACGTGCATTAGAATTTTCAATCGTACATCAATCGTGAATCTCATACTCACGAGGGATTCGAACGAATGCGCGCAGGCGGACTTTTTTTCGCCGTCTAACGAGATTCGCGAGACGTCGAGAGGACGCACTCGACCGATACGAATATTCGTCTGACGATGGAAAACGGGCGAGAAGCATTTTAACGAGCCACGTCCTTGTCCCTAATTAGGTCGGTTCACGTGCGTATGCGGCGACGAGCATGGGAAATGGCATTTAAACATCGCCGTGAACGCGGGACGAGACCGTAAATCCTTCTGACCACGAGTCAAGTCAAGTGCAAGCCGCCGCACTCGACGGACGTTCAATTACACTTTTTCCTACGCGAGATTTCGCAAACGATTCTCGTTCTTTGCTGCGTTCCTTCTTTTCACTGTATCGTGCAATGATCCGACGCGCGCTCGCACCCGGCCTATTTGATCGCCGTGCCAGTCGATGGACGTTCGGTACCGGCGCGCATTGACTTTCGATCGGACGCGATAAAAATACATGGAAGCAAACTTATTGTGGGTCAACGCTGTCGAAAGGAAGGCACATGGAACCACTGCCGGCCGAGTCACTTTCTTCGCTCTTTTCACTTTCATATTTTCGTCCGGATTCTTCTCTCTCTCTCGCCGGACGCAATTTCTAATTTTCAATCGATATCGTCGACTCGAATCGACGCTGCCAAAATCCGACGAACCGGGTGCGTCGTCTCGGTGACGAGACGAATTTGCACGAATTCGTTCAGCGAAACGTGAGACAGATACCGAAGATTCGTCCGTCTGATCTGACGTTGAAGGGCGCGAGGAGGACAAAAATCATTCGTAACACAGGATCGTTCGTAGACGCTCGACGACGCGTTCGTCACTTTCTATTCGATTTTTTGTTCCATAACGCGCCGCATTTCTCGCTTCCACGTGACTCGAATACACGCGTATATTTCGCGAATATATTTTTCTACGTCGGAACTAGGAATCCTGCGTAACCGGCGAATACTTTTTGCGTCGTGTTCAACGTTTGTAACGGAACGTGGAATTAGAAAGAGGGAAGTGGACGAAACCTCGGGTCTCGGAAGCTCGATTTCGTACTTTATAAAAGGCATAAAAATGTAAACGAAGTCAGAGAGCGAAATAAATGATCCGAATCGTCTGCACCGATCGACCAAAAACCGAGTTTAAACAATCTAGAAAGAAATTGCGAAATTGTTGAAGAATTAAAATTACTACGTGTACAATGACTACTACGTCGCGATTCTCTGATCGTCGGGAAAAGGTGTGAATCGTTCTTGAATGGAAGATAGAACAGGGATGACGGAATCGTTTAATATTCGCTGGGACGATGGCGCAATCGATGAACTCTCTATTTCGTTGGCTACGAGGCCGCGCGTCGTCGCCGCCGCTCCCACCGGCATGCTGATTCCTCGTTTCTAATCCCGGCGGCTAGCTGCACCTCGTCAAAATGGATCCGAGAACGCTCGACGCATCGTCTAGCTGCGCGTTCCAATTTTCACTTTCCATTCGCGATATACGTATAGCATACGGGAAGTACGCGCAACGATTGCCTCCGAACTAATCCAGTCGATGTGCGTGTTCGTAGCAAATTCAACGTCGTACGTTTTCATCTCGCGCCGCGTTCATCAGGTATTTCAAACGGTGGCACGTATTCGTAATTGTACACCCAGCAAGGTGTCCCGAGTGTCACTTGACATTTTCCATAAGCTCGTCGTCGTCGTTACGAAATTTATTCACTATGCCTCGTGACGTAACGGTCTGTGCCCGATTACGTCGCGACCGAAAGGTTGTTCCGCGTGGAAAAGCTAAATGGGACTTTTGTTTACCGACGTTCTACCGTCGATGAAATCCAGTAAAATGATCGTCCGATCGTTTCGATTTAAACACTAGAAAAAGCCGAGCGGAAACGTAACTCGCGAACACGTCGGGAGATTTCGATTCTCTGTTCACGTGGAGATTTCGTCGAACCGCGCGTGGAAAATGAAAAGGAGTTTGCTACGATCACTCACCGTCCGAGTACGCCGGTGGTAATAATTTGAGGAATGGCGCGCCGCGAGAACCCCAAACCGGGTGTCTCACGTTGTTGCAAGCACCGGAAGGCGTTCTGTACTTGCTCGGTGGACAGGGTCTGTCCGGCTTGATCCTGCATGGTGGATCGTTCGACTCCGGTCTGTTCTGATATCTGAAAATGTCCAAAATGCACAGACGTTCAGAGGAATGTACGGTGTTCGGATAAAAATGATCACACGATGTTCGAAGACGTTTAAACGACGGGGGGAAATAGGTGTTTTAGAAGTTTGTAGGCTGAATCATTGCGCGCGATGGTCCACGCGGTGTCACGTCGAAAACAGAAAATGAAGAAAAGACGAACAAGCGATTTTTCTGCGAGCAGTTCGGAGTACGACGGTAACGAGGAAGTATAACTCACGTGCGTTCGTGAGTCATGGAACTCGCGCGTAAGAAATCTTCGAACAATGAGAAACTACTGTCTGCTGATGCATACGCGCGGCTATAAATCAAATTGTTCTCGCACAGTCAGAGTCCCGTCGTTTTCGCGTGTGAGCAAATTGCCGCGGGGAACAATATCCGACGCTGTATCAGATGTACCTCGGCGTTATCAGTTTCCAGAGACTCGTGCGAACCACGAGCAGTCGAATCGGATCTGATCTCTTCGTTCGTTTACTTTATCGTCGCGTTACGACGAATCACCGAGGAGATGCGCGGTCGCGACAGAAAACCGAATGATCGATTTTTTGCTGGTACAGGTACAGAAGACGGCCAGGCAAGAGGATCGCTCCAGTAATGGTCAGACGAGAAACCTTCCTTGCGGAACGGAAGGACGTGCTCTGGCTCGACACTCCTTTTCTCGACCATGAAAGTAAAAGTTCGCTCGCTCGTGGCCGAGTCACCGCGAGAAAAAGAAGGAAAATGGAACAGGAAGGACGGAGGCTCGACCGACCGCGTGTTCGCCGGCTGAACCTCGTCACGCCTGTCCGTGGCCGTCCCATAGCGGACTTTCGTTCCTTCCGAGCTCCCCCTTTCCGGTTCTCTGTAACGATTCGACCACGGATCTCACCGCAAGGACGCGACTCGTTTAAATAAATTTTCAAGAAACTGTTCCACGTTTTATTTGACACCACCATGCTCGTCACTGACCAAACGAACAAACGCGCCGCGCAAATCCGGCATCTCTACCCTGGCGAGTACGAACTCCGCGACGAAAGGTACACTCACGATTTCCCGTGTACTTAATCGTTGTTCGCTTTTGGGATCCGTATTCGTCTCGGCGAACGGGTGATAACACGTTCCAGAATGCGTGCCGCAACGTTTCGTCGGCCTGACGCGCTTTTAATGATCCGCTGTTTTCGTTTCGCTTTGCGGCTTTCTCCGGGGTATCGTTTTTTTGGACACAAGTTACGCAATCTCGTTGCAGAAAACGAGACGAAAACCGTGTAGCGACCGTATCGCGAACGCCCACGTATTTTTAACGTCAACGATTTCGGCGCACGATTAGATGTTTAGGTGTCGATCGAGTTACGATCATTATTGTTCCACGTTACGTTTCACGTTTACTTTCACACCATCGTTCTCTCGTCGTATATCAATGAGCCGTTCTGTGACCCGTGTAAAAGCGAACAAACAAGGGATAAAAGTGTTCCAGATAAACGATAAAACATGCAAGATGAACGAAGACGCAGGATATCGAACTTACTTGGCTTTCGTTTGATAAATGAATCTTTCAGCCTCGATTCCTGCCCGTGCCCTTGCCTGCAAATCGTGATCCACACCGTAGAGGTAATCTGCGAGCAAACCAGTATTTTATGAATACGATCGGACTACGTACTCCGTGATGCCGTTCTCTTCTTGCTAATCAACATCGTTCAAGATCGCTCCGATGTCCATAATCGTTCGACTGTTCACGACTCGACGACCCGATTTGAATAATTCCATTAAATAACTAGATCTCCCTAAAGCCACGACCGATGACTCTTATTCCGTCGACTGATCATAAACGACGAACGATAATCGTATCACGAATAATTACAACGAAGAATCAAACCAGAAAGGGTGATCACGCCAACGAGTTCTGTAATGCTCGCGAGACGTTCTCCCTGAATCGATTTTTCGCGACCTACCTCTCGACAGGCAATTCTTTTTTAACCGATGAATGATTTGAAACCCGTCATCGTCGTTTCATTTCCTCGAAGCGTTATTACGTAACTGTTCGATCGTTGACAAAAATATCGTTTTCCTCCGGTCTCTCGATTTGACTTTTATGCGGACGTGTCGAACACCTTGAACTTTACTCGATCTCGTCGTGAGATAGGAGATTTTCAAGAATTCCGGTTTTCTTAATTAAAAAAAGAAGACTTACTTGAGATGTCGAAGTGACGAACCGTCGTGATCGCTAATGTCAACGTCACGAGAACCACGGTGGACAGTAGAGCCAAACTGCACCTGAAACAGAGAGGCGACGCCGACCATAGTAACTACAGAATTCGAATTCAAACTCAGCGCGCGTCCAATGAGTATTGATAATAATAATAATAATAATAATAATAATAATTGANGTTCTCTTCTTGCTAATCAACATCGTTCAAGATCGCTCCGATGTCCATAATCGTTCGACTGTTCACGACTCGACGACCCGATTTGAATAATTCCATTAAATAACTAGATCTCCCTAAAGCCACGACCGATGACTCTTATTCCGTCGACTGATCATAAACGACGAACGATAATCGTATCACGAATAATTACAACGAAGAATCAAACCAGAAAGGGTGATCACGCCAACGAGTTCTGTAATGCTCGCGAGACGTTCTCCCTGAATCGATTTTTCGCGACCTACCTCTCGACAGGCAATTCTTTTTTAACCGATGAATGATTTGAAACCCGTCATCGTCGTTTCATTTCCTCGAAGCGTTATTACGTAACTGTTCGATCGTTGACAAAAATATCGTTTTCCTCCGGTCTCTCGATTTGACTTTTATGCGGACGTGTCGAACACCTTGAACTTTACTCGATCTCGTCGTGAGATAGGAGATTTTCAAGAATTCCGGTTTTCTTAATTAAAAAAAGAAGACTTACTTGAGATGTCGAAGTGACGAACCGTCGTGATCGCTAATGTCAACGTCACGAGAACCACGGTGGACAGTAGAGCCAAACTGCACCTGAAACAGAGAGGCGACGCCGACCATAGTAACTACAGAATTCGAATTCAAACTCAGCGCGCGTCCAATGAGTATTGATAATAATAATAATAATAATAATAATAATAATTGATCGTTTTATGCGTTCACAGAAGAATCGAACGCACAGAGTACAGAAAATTTTTATCGTTCTTCGCAAATTTATAACGAGAAATTCGTAGAATCGTTTCGTGCATGTTTGAACGTCGTCGGTATGCGAGTCAGCGAATATCTGAACGCGTACATACTTTCTCTGCGAGCGGACCAGAGATTCCAATGTCGTTGAAAGGGAAGAGAGGAGAGATAGAAAGGGAGAAAGGCCACGGAAGATCAAGAGCAGGCGAGCTGCTCTGGAATTTTTCTGCCGCGTACCGATCCGATCTGCCTTCTTGTTCCGCGAGTCACGCCTCGAGAACCCTGTTCGTAACCTCGCTTCGTAATAAAATCAGCGAACTGGCAAAAGTAAATATGCTCGCAACAGCGTTTTTCCGCATCGAGGTGTATGCGGTCGGTGAAATCTCTCCGACGCAAGAGCACCGTTTCGTTCGTTAGACACGTCGGACAAACGTCAGAGAGAAGTTCGTCGGACGAAGAACCCTCCGAGACTGATCGACCCAAAAAAAGGACGATTAAAACGAAGAGTGGGTCGACTCGAGTTTGTGGCACGGATCCGATCGGTTGGAAGGCACTGGCCTTTCGATTTCGGCTTTCGGCGACACGACGCGTAGGTACGTAGGTGGACAGTAGGTCGGCCTGGCCGGTTCTTCCTTCGAGCGAAACAGAGACCGGACTAGATGAGTTCCCGTGTAACTCGGGGGTGAGAGGATTCTTTTCTCGAATCGTCAGCGTCCATTTCGTCTAATATGTTTCCACGCGAAGCGACGTTCTCGCTCTCGTTCGTAAAGCGAACCGAGATTACAAAGACTTTATTCGAGTAGACGGACTCTGTCACGATTTGGCAATAAAGTCCGTTGGATCTGTTTCAACGATCGAGCCTCCGTGAAACGGGAGAACTTTCGTTTCCGGGTCCGGTAAGAAATTTCGGAAACACCCTGTATAACACGGCTGTTATCGAGGAAACGTGGCATGAAATTCCTTTCACGGCTTTCGAAAGCGCCAAAGAAAGTCGCTGGAAGAAAGAGAACCTGTTTAATAAAGACTCGTTATTTTTCTCCGTACGTTCGCTTCTGCTCTTCGTTCGTTTGTATGGAAATTTTCAAGTGCGTGGGAAAAACGCGAGCGCTTTATCGGAGTCGCTCGTGCCCGATTTTTTGATCCACGCAGATCCAGATGCGAATAATATGTGTCTGTAAATAAATGATGATAGATGAGATCGAAAGAGGTTCCTCTGGCGAGCGAGATATTCGTCGTATTTCTCTACAGTTTGTTCACCTTCGGAAGCGTCCGATGAGCGCGTTTACTCTGTTCACCGATGCGTAAGTAAAACTTTCCTTGCCATTTCTACAACCTGACTCAATGTCAGAACAATTTCCCCGTTTCCTCGTACGTTCCGTTCACGAACGAACAACGATACTCGGTATAATAAGCAGAATCATATCAATTATTTCGTTCACTTCCTTGTAAGCGCATGAAATGTTCGATCGTGATTCCCCTTTCAAAATGCATTCCTAATCTCTCCGAAGACCACCGTGCCTGGCGTCGATCACCGGGAAAACAATTTTACGTCGATCGTCTTCGCCTTTCTGATCCGATCTTTCCGCGTCGCAGCCGACGCGTTTTACGCGTACCGAGGTCATCCGTCGACGGGATCCGCGACGGTACGTAGAATTTACCGTACCACGGATTTCACTTTGTTCCGCGCGATCTCGAACAACGGGCATCGATCAGGCCGCAATTAAACTCGAAAGCCGTGCCGTACCGATCATTATTCTCCTCGTTTCCTTGCTAGTGACATACATGGACCTCACCCGGAAGCCCCGGAAAACTCGTCCAAGGAGAATTTCCTCTTGCACTTAGCTGACCGAAACCACGACTCAAACGCCGCGCGATAAATTAAATTCTTCCAAGCTCTTTGCCTCGGCGGTCACGATAACGTTCGAAACTATTGGGATCGAACGATGACTCTCGACGGACGCGTCGCTTAAAAATCTCTTTCGTATCAGACGTGACGCATCGCCCAAGAGTAACTCGAGGACGTTTCTGCGCCACGACTCTTTATCGATTACGATCGAAACCGTCGTCCGAGGATTCGTCGTTCGGCCGGGCCAGGTTCGTTTTCTCGGCCGGGCCGCGAGCCACGATTCGGTGTCAGTGGGTCAACGGAAACTGGAGAAATCTTTCGCTTCGTGCATACCTTCTACTTCGAGCATCTCACGTTTTACCGGCCATCGGCGGCTCACGCATGGCCGAAGACATTAATGTCACGCGACGATCGGTCGTACGTCGCAGAATGCACGTATCCATTTGTTAGATCTGCTCTCCTCCCTTTCTCTTCTTCTCGCCTTTTCGACTCCGATGCCATTTCCCGGTTTCTCCCTTTCTTCTTTTCGATCTCGTTGGACGATCCGACTGTCGTTACTTTCACGATCGGAAGTGAACGTCTCGACGACTGACCCACCGACTTCGGATCGTTCGCTGGATCTCACCGATCGAAACTACACCGTTCCGATCAACTAAATCGCATCGCGCGCGACGCATGACCCGTGCAAACGATGAAAATGTGTTCAACAATTAATTTTACACGAGGTTCGCCTCCTTGGGTGTCCGTGATTCGTCGAACGATCGGTCGAAGGAACGACGGATCGATTAAATTTCGTAACTGCGGCGACCTTCGACGGTGACGCGGAGAGGAGAAACGTGTCATCCGGCACGGACCCGCTTTTCTTCGATGGCAAACGTGTCGAGCCGCTCTCGAACGAATACGTCAGTGGTCACTTTCACCCGCGGAGCACCAAGTATTTCCTCGATTTTATTCCGGCCCGCGGGCAACCGTCGACCCTCGCGCGCGCGCATTCATTCACCGGTTCCTCTTCTTCGCCGAGCGTTCTGAGACCGGCTCCGAGGAACAAGGTCGTCGCCTCGACCTGCGCTTTCATCGACCAACACTGGAATCAGATAGGTATTGGCCAGCAGGCATCGTGACTCCGTTTCGTGCTTCCACGTGGAAAAACGATTGGTGGTAGCGTAGAAGAGAATCATCGTAGTCTCCTTCTAACAAGGACGTTTATCGACGTTTCAATTAAAATTATTTTAACGACGCCTGGAACAAAAGAAATGCAACGAGGATGTACGGAAGAATTACTGTTCATACTTTCTCCTCGGTAGATCGATCGAAATAATTTTATTTTATTACCAACAGAGGAGTGATTCTTCGTTCGGTGAAACAAAACGCCCTCGAGCCAACTGTGAATGCGGCCGTCCTCATTATTCCGTTTAAATGTCGTGCGCAGAAGAGGACGACGGGACTAAACGCAATCGAACGAAATTTAAAAATTGCCGATCCTGAAATTATCTGATCGGACGGTCGAGCGGTCGATTGTATCTACAGATTCCATTGTATTGCTCGTGCACACGGCTCGTAAACATCGACGACGAAGAGAGAGAATGTTCGTTACAAAGGAATGTCCACTGATCGATCCTGTCCATCGCGAGACGCGTTCGCGTCGAGCAACACGATTTAAGATGGTCAGAGGGGATTTGACGTACAAATATTTTTCGGTGAACGTCAGTCGTGTGACAAACAGTTCGACGTTACAGATGGTCGTGAGCGACGGTGCTGAGAAATTTGGTCGACGTGCAGATGAATTTTTTATATCCTTTCATTTCATTTTTACTCGTTTGGTCTTTCGATGAAAAGTAGTAAAATCGGGTCGCCGTGAAGTCGACGCCGCGAACAATCGGATGTCGTTATTTTTTAAGAGTAGAACAGAGTTCGTCTCTTGAGTCGCTCATCTTTTGGATCATTATCTAGCTGCGACCAATTTATCTGCAAAATGTGAGCCAGTAGGAGAGATGAAATTTTCTCAAACGAGAAAGAGAAGGACGGTGATTAGAAGTCGCTCTCCTTGACTCCGTCATCTTCGAGCACGTGCCGTGGCTCTTTTCGCGATAATCGCGCGTACACCAATGACTATGACGACGGACGGCAATTTTATTTTTGAAATTATTACTAATTGACGTAACGCTTCGCGCGGTTCTGCGAATGCGTTTCTTCTCGAATGCGCTTTCGAGATCGAACAGCGATCAAACTACGATGAACTCAGAATTCACGCGTTCCGACGAAAGTGTATCAACGGGAAGAGAGTGAAGCGCTCGAGCGAGTCTTGGCTCGAGTGGTTTCGAGAGAGAAAGTAACTTCTTGCCGGTGGAGCGGCGAGAGGAGCATTCTTTCTCGAGGTTAATATGTTTCCTTTGTGAACGAATAGAGAGTATAACGAGTTCGAATCTATTGGGAACGCCCGTGCGAATCGTTTGCTACGAGATCGTACGAAATTAGAACGTACAGAGCACGATCGAGATCGTTGCACGAGCTTTGAGACAGGAACGACGACAGGAAATCGAGGACGATCGTCGGTCGCGAAGGATATGAAAAGATAAATCGTCGCGTCCTTTCATCGATTCGATAACGGATAATGACCGAGGGAACGATTGAATTGTCAACGCGGTAAGTAATCACGATTCCGGGAAGCGGGGAAGCTTTCAATTGAACGTACAGTCGGCGGGCTGTAATTTTTTCACTGTTCTACCATCTCCGGGGGTAATGAAAATTTCCTGCCGCGGCTAACCGACGACAAAGAGGAGAAGACAACGTCCGAAGGACGTTGCACTCGCAGCAAGAATGGCTGTGTTTACTACCGTGTAGCGCGTAGCGCAGTGGATTCACGGTAGAACGAGCACGCGCATTATTAGATTACTAATCGCTCGCTATGTGGGACAGTAACCGTAACACGGAATTCGTTGGCCGAGGTCCCATCGGCTTCTCATACTCTGACTCGTCTCGCGAAATAACGAATTTCTAATGAAATGTAACGTCGACGATCTGTACGAAGCATAATTTTTCTTCGACTTTCTTTTCTTTGCCTGTATTTCATCTTGCACGTTCTCGACGACCAGAGCTTCGGTGACTTTGATCGCTTCTCACGAGTCGTTCGAACGGCGATACCAATACATCCACCGCAAAATTCGTTCGATAAAGCGGTAAACACTCTGCTCTCGTTCGAACCGAAACTCGGACAACCTTTTAGACGACTACTGCAGATTTCACTGACACGCATGATTTCTATCGATCTTTGCTTTTACAATTACTTTCTATCAACGGAAAAACCCCGAGTCAGTATGAATTATTTATAGATGACGTTCGCATAGTAGAAAATTAGTATTAATACCGTAATATCTCCCCTAGTTCTGTACGAGTCGGAGTACGTACGGTGAACGTAATTGAGGGAACGGGACGATGTATCGTCATCGAACGCGTGAAAGCGTATTGTTTCGCGATGCTAACGACCAATTAAAACTGTTAGCGTTATTGTTTCAGAGATAGTAAGATTGACCCAGTAGGAGAAGCCTCCGTGCCGATTTCATATTTAAGAAGTCTGTTTCGTCCGCGTCGGAACCAGACACGACGGAACGTTGAATCCACAAAAGGGGAAGCCGATCTCCGTAAAACAATTGTTCACTTTTTGACGGTCACTCGACCGTGACGAATTTCACTAAACAGTCGGTACTTTCGTCGATCTTTATGTACCGAACATGTATTGTTCAGTCAGTCTGTTATCGAGAATTTCTTCTCGCGAACGTCTCAACTGATTACGGTACGTACTACGCACGCCCGTCTATCATTATAATTTATCGTCCGGAAAGTCGCGTGATTCAGGCATTGGCAATTCTCGCTAACGAGTCGAACACTTCTTTATTCAATCGAACAGCTACTTTTGCCGGATGCATGACGCTGTACTTGTAATAAAAACGTCCACGCTCTTTATCCGGTTTGCGATTAATTCGAGCCTGATCGAACATCGATCGTTTCCACTCGTTTCACTATTTTTAGACAACGACGGTCGACACCCGCATTACTAAAAATGCAATCCTTAACGGCGACTTTACGACTTAGAAGTTAATACAGGACGCGAGACGCAAAATTCGACGATTCAACGGAACGCCGGCACGTCTGACTATAGCTGACTCGTACTACTCGCGCCGGTCAACTTCGCTGTCCGAGCGAGTGTTCCACTTGAAATTGAAAATAAGGCCTTATCCTATCTGCTTCAGAACGAGTTTATTCAGATTCGGAGAGGACATTGTTCTACCGTCTTAGACGATGGTAAAACCGCAGTTGACTACCAGGAACGAAGGAAGAACAATCACGTTAAACGTTTTGATCACGACAAATGATTTGCGAGAAACTCTGACACGACTCGTTTACAGGAATAATCGTTGCTCCGCGGAAAGCTAAACGGAATTAATGCATCGTTTTAATGACTCCTCGACGCTGAAAATCTCTAAATTTGAACTGATGTCAGAGTGACCCATCGTCTTGCACGTCGTCAGACGAGATCGTACGATTCAGACGACGAAGATAGGACGGAAACATACAAAAATTTTGATCCGCACTCGATTCATTGGCAACATCGAAACACAGTTTCTTAAACTGCATTTCTTCTGCCAGTTCATCAAAACTGTCCCGTTACGTGAGCCGTATCTGCTCGGTTCATCTCTCGACTTGACCACCAAAAAAAAAGAATAGCACGAGTCGTTTTTTTGCTGGATCAATGCCGGGATTCGTGACTCGAAAATTTGAAAAACTACTTTCACTGGTGAACGCGTCCGCTTCCCGTCCTGCGACCGGCGACGATCCTATTTTTATTCGCTGCACGCGCCGACCGGCGATGACGGAAAGAGATCCGAGACAGCAAACGGTACGGTTCACGCGATTACCGCGAGAAATCTGACATTTCTATAACGGTGTATACGCACGCCCACGCGTTACTCAACTCGTTACGTCGGTACACGCGTCAGAGCTTAAGCAACCGGGTAAATGCAATTAAATGCACACGCAACAAACCATCGTCGACCTTCGAACCTTTTGAATCCTCTGTTCCAATCGATCGATCCGATCGTCGTTGTTTTGATTCGGACGTGCTCGCGTGTCTCATAGGAAAAGTTTAAAAATGAACGTCGATTGAATCGAGCGTAATCGAGACTGCTGCTGCCTGCGAATTCACTTGGAATATGCACGAGAATCTAAATGATCCTTCGCGTGTTTCGTAATGTTCCTGCTTCGATTTATACGTATGCCAGAAGTCTATGTCTCGTTTCCCAAGATCTTCGAATTCCCGTCTCGTCGCCTACGAGAAAGCGCGTCTCCGAAGATAGTTACGCACGTTTTAACGGGCAGGGAGATCGGACGTCCGGAACAACCTCGTGCGCGTTCCTGTCCCTCGAACGGGACCGTGTCCAAGAGGCGACGGATTCTTACCTGAACGAGTCGAGTCTCTTCATTGTAACGATTTGACACGGCGCACGAACCCCTGATAAAATGTCTCTGTCTCTGCGAGCGGAACACTATCGTGCTGGTCTCGAGGAGCCAAGTTCAAAGAGAAAACGGCAGGACGCCCGCCTGGTTAGGAAGCTCGACGATCACTTTCTTCTGGCAGGTCGACGGAACACCAGCTCGTATATACGTTCGTACACGTTCTCAACATCGAACCACGCGACGGTCCGGCGGATACTGAGCTCTCGGGGCCCGCGATAGCCTCTTCACACGGGCGAGTGAAAGCGAGAGGTGCCGCGCGAGAGGCACAAGCCCGAAGACCGAGTCACGAGCCTCGCGAACAGGAAAGAGGAAGACGGAGGATACGTGGCGACGAGCGAGAAGCTACGATACCGCAGTCACGTGAAAAGAAGGAGGATCTTATGGGTAGCCGGCAGGTGCAACGGGGAACGAGCCAGGAGGACGAGACGAGCCGGTGGAACTGCGAGAACGATGGTCCTCCCGGTTACGTACACCGTCGGCCATAAATACCGGCGACCCCCGCGCCTTGGACGATCGGCCGAACTCCGTAATCGTCGGTCTCGACGAATGTGATTCTTCATCTCTCGTTCGAGCATCGGCGACGCACATTCGGCGTTCGTCGTTTTCTAATCGACACATCGGACGTATACATATGAGTGCGTTTTCAGATGGAGTCGCACGGAGGAGGATCGTCGCTCCTCCGTTTCAATATCCTGTTCCTCCTGATATTAAGGTCGGACGGAACGGCGAACAGGCTCGAGGGAGCGAGACGGAGAGAGAAAGCACGAGGTTGCTGGTCACATGAGAAACGGGAGACGCTCGTGGAATAAGGACCGGGAAGCGAGTGAAACCGGGAACCACACGTCGCTCTGAAGAAGACCGAACGGGTCGCGACAAACGGGTCGAGTGGAACGGCGAAAACGCCACGCGGAAAGACCGATACCGACGTTTTGCAAAACGATCACGTTCGGAATCGTCCTGCCGCGAGTTCCACGGTCAAACGCGTTTCTTTCACATTTTATTCGAGTCTGATTCCCGTCCAGGATCGCGGAGTTTACACGCGCAAAGAAAGATATAATTCCCGATCATCGAGAGCGACGTTACAGATATTCCGTTTTGCATAAAAATCCGAAGTAGGATGATGAAACTCTTGTCGCATGCCAATTTGACAGCGGATGAAATACACCGTTTTCGAACGATCGCGTCGTACGGGTGAGCGAGAGATTTTGCGATCACCGACGGGATCGGAGAGAAAGAGGCAGGAACGAGGCGACAGAAAAATTCCGAGTAGCGGCGAACGAAGAATCTGCCGCGACGATCAGAATAGGAATCGAGGTGTCGTAATTGTCATGTGATCGAACGAAAGGATTGTGACGATGCGACGTCGGTGGGTGTCGTCGTGGTGCCATGTCGCTCACCAACGATTCGACGACGGGGCCGTAGCCGTGTTTCTCGCTCCTTTCCCTGCACGATTTTTCCCGTCCTCGCACTTTCGTGAGAAATCGGAATGGTGAGATTCAACCGTTTCGATCTCGAACCGCTGGTTCGTCGTTCGTTACGTCACAGGATCCGTTCAAATGTTCAACGAACAAAAGAAACGTGAACGCTGCCAGGAGAAAACTCTGATCGTTCGGCACTTCGATCGTCGGCTATTGCCAACGACGAGATCTGATCCAACGCGACGCGACACTGAATCGAAAAGTCGTGGTCCAAGTCGAATTGGAACACGAGCCATGCCCAAATCTCGAACAAATGTACCAAACGTTGTGACCTTGACCTCCCGGCGCGAAACGACATTCTGCTCGCTCGATTCTACTTTCATCCACGGTGAAACTTCGATTTCGTTCGGAAATCGTCTAGGCGTTTAACTTCTTGCTCGTTCAGAACCGACGGATCGGTTTGAACGTTCTTTGAATCGTTGCCAGACGAACGAACCGGAGTCGGGCGCTCAATGCGATTAATCTAAGATTTGACGCGTGGAAAAGGAAGGCGCGATGGACTCGGTGAGACACAGGTGATCGTTCGCCCGAGGGTGAACTCACTTCCTGCATTTTGAGCTCGTGATACGCGGACCGAACGCGGCTGCACTTCGGGATCATATTCCCTGAGAAGACTTTTACTTCCGTCTTTCCATGTAGCTCATTTACAGACAACCGGCTCTTTCAACGCGTCTACCAACGATCCGACTTGCCGGTGGCCGCATTGAACAAAAATATTCGCGATCATCGCCGCGTCCGATTCGTCGATTAAATCTTTCGATCGAACGTGCGAATCAAACGGTACGTCCGATCGAGGGAACCGAAATTTGCAAAGTCAGAGTGGCTACTCAATTTGAATCGAGTTGCGTACAGTCGGGACGAAAGGAGTCGTTACGGACGCAAGAAAGCGGAACATTCGGTTTCGCTATCTTTCCCGAAATCTGCTGTTACGAAAATTACATTGAAATCCTTCCCGTGACTCGTTACGAATCTTCACGTAACGTTCAGATAACTCTACTACCGATATCGCACGATGCCCTCTCTCCTCTCGTGATCTAGAGACGAGTCGATTCTTCAGATATTTTATCCGACTACTTCTCTACGAGGTGAACGGTGAATCTGGAAGAGCCTAAAAAATAGAACGAATCATTTTCAAACGTGAGGAACGTTTCTCGTAGAATTCTTAAATCCGCGAGAATGTTAGAAAAGATAGAGAGAGAGAGAGAGAGAGAGAGGGAGAGAGAGAGAGAGAGAGAGAGAGAGAGAGAGAGAGCGGAAATCGATCGAGCTTCCAAATTCATCGAAGCTGATCTTGAAAATGGATCGTTATTTTTCCTCGTTCCACATGAACCGGAGAATTAATGTCTACAGGCCTGAACGGGAATCCGACGTCCGAACGGACAGAAGTTTCGCCCGCTCGGTCGTACCGTAACGAGGACGACAGCGGAGGGAGAGGCAAGGGGGATCCTCGAGTCACGGGACATGCAAGGGGATCCACGAGTCACGCGGTGCAGTGAAAGTGTTGTCGAAAGAGAAACGGAGAGGAAAAACAGGTGTTCCCCTCTTCCTCTCGTCGACGTTAACGACACCGACGCGATTGTACGCTCAGCGAACGAGATGAGCAAGAAAATCGAACTCGCGGAAATCCAGAATCACGCGTGCACCGCTTCCGTTCTCGTCGACAATGCGAAGCGATGAAATTCATCTGAAACGATTTTATCCGTCGGTCCTCCCGGCCTTCCGCGTCGATTCTTCAACCTTAACTTCACCTACTCGGGGCGTAACCATTTTACCGAATCGTTCGCTGGTGCGCGCTGCGTCGAATCGCAGACTTCCGCGTTCTAACAACGCGTTCGAAAACTGAGCGGTGTTTATACGATAAACGGAAAGTAAAACCGTGTCCATCTCGCCGTTCATTGCTATTCGCGATCCTCGAATCGGACTGCGCACGTTCGTGCAAAACGAAATACAGATGCGCTCTGCGTTTGTTCACTGAATGGCACGCAGTTTGCTTTTAATATTCTGTGCGTATCTACGTCTTCCAAAGTTTGACACGCTCGTGTCTGTCATGTAAATACGTGGCGTGTCTGACGGTAGACGTTAGAATTACTTTCAGCGAGTCCCTTTTCGAAACGCGATGAAGCGCGCACGAAATCGGTCGATTAAAGAGCGTCTCGGTTTTAATTAATTATCGTCTAAATATTGATCGACGCTGACGATTCATCGTGGCGAGAGAACGGCGATGCTCCGGGAACGCTTTCTACTTCAACCGGTAACGTAATCCTCCTCGAAATTGGAAACTGCGACTACTGCGACAAAGAAGCCACGAAATGTCGTTGAATCAAAGGTCTCCTAAAATTGATGGAACTTTAAAACAAAGTTTCACCATCTCTGAATCAAGTTTCACTTTATTATGCACGAAAAAATATGTATGCAAAAGATTTGCATACGTTCTCTCGTCCACTTTCATTTCCTCTCATTAACTTTTTACAATTGCACAACTTTGTTCAACGTCGTTTATCGTAGAAGAGCGCAATGCGTTTCGTAGTACCGCGAAATACGAACAGATCATCACTTTGCATCCGGATCGCGACCAGCAGAGAAACGTATACTTTACACGTAAGCATCGTGCATCGCATCGATGTCAGACGAATCTTACCAGTACACGATATTCAGCATCGATCGACTTTTCGAATAATAATCGAGACAGCCGATGCGTTCTCGGAACCAGTCTCGCACTGTCCCTGGGCCGCGTCGAAAATCTAGTTTGATCAGGATTAATTTTATTCATCGAAACCGGTGTTCCACCAAAATAACGACGCAGAAACATTTGTCTTCGGTATTTTTTCGAACAGAGAACGCAGGCTCCTGCCTGGCGAATCCCATACCTGACTACCGTAAGAATTCGCAGAGTCGACGCGAGACGGAAATTTCACGAGACCCACCGTTGCCTCTCAGAATTCAAAACGAAACGCGCATTCGTCGTTCGAATACCGAGGATCTTGTTTTTGAAATCTCTCTTAGCGCGTCGTCGTTTCGTTCGCGAACTCGAGAAGATCGAGGTGGACTCTCTGTCCAGAGGCGAACGTAGCGAGGCAAGGAAAGTGGAAGAAAGGAATCTCGTCGGTCGTTCCTCGTGAAATTTGGGTTCACGTGACCGAACAACTGCTGCGTGCGTCTCGTCAGAGACAGATTCCATCGTGAATAGATCGAAATTTCTACTCGCTTAGAAAGATCCTCCGGTCTCACGGTTCGAACATAGAATAGAAAAATGAAATCACACGATCCGAACGTCATACGATCATACTCGAACAGCCCTCGACGTTGCGAATTCGAACTTCTCGATACAATTTCCTCGGAAAAAGGTAAAACTGTTAATCGAGTTTCTACGTTTCGTAACACCGGAATCGCCACCTACGAGACGAGATACCTGGATATACCGTTCGAGATAAGAACGCCGGGTTCCTTTTTCTCTGTAACGTCGAGGCGGCGAGGGGCAACCGGCATAAAGTCGATTTCTGTGTCAGTGTGTCATACGGGCCGGTGTCGACGTAGCAGGAGGCAAGCGTTACTCAATGAGCAATTCCCCGCATGTGACGGGCATAAATATGCTCACGCGTGTACGTTCGTCCCGTCACGTCGAGTCGCGTCACCAGCTTCTCTAGACCGCGAACAGTTCCACCAGTGGTAAAACTGGATCGCGCGATCGAGATCGGCTCGTAGCTAATAATGTCTTTATTAGCGCTCTCTGCGCTCATGGCAATTTCTGTCGAACGAAGCTGATACCGTCCCGAGAAA